CCCAAAACCCCAAAACCCCAAAACCCCAAAACCCCAAAACCCCTTAAAGTTACATTATAGTTAAATAATATTCAAATATTCCAAAAAATGCAGAAAAGCACAGTAGAAAGAGTCTCCTCTAACCAAAAGAAGGAAGAAAGCTTTGAGAGAATGTCAGTTAGCTTTGGAGAAAATAAAGATCAAGATAATCAAAGAAAAGCGAAAAACTCTGTTAGAACTTCTAAATACACTTGGATCACTTGGGCTCCGCTCTCTTTATTTTACCAGTTTACTAGGGCTGCTAACATTTATTTCCTCTGGATCTCAATTTTGACATGCATGCCCTTTTCTCCTAAAGCTCCTGCTTCGATGATTGGAACCTTTTCAGGGGTGCTGATCTTTACAATGTTTAAAGAACTTTTCGAAGATTACTACAGGATGAAAAGTGATAAACAGATAAATAATAGTAAGACCCGTATCTACAACTACACTAAAAAGGACTTTGAAACAGTATCTTGGAAAGACGTCAAGCAAGGAGATATCATAAAAGTTGAAAAGGACGAATCTTTCCCTGCTGATATCCTTTTCCTCCATTCTAAAACAGATGTAATTTTTGTAGATACTATGAATCTTGATGGCGAGACTAATCTCAAACCAAAAGTACTGGCTTCCAGGTAAATTATCAAATTTGGTTCTTTTTTATAATTTATCAAGAACATTCCTTTCCTTTCTCTTACATGCTCCTGTATCCTTATCTCACCTTGTTCAGCTCACTAATTCCCTCAATCACCAAATCCGAAGAATCCAAGCTCACAGACTCTACCCTACCTCCCTACTGCCCATCCAGCCTCCACTCCCTCACCGGAAGAATAGACTGTGAATTCCCAAACGAAAATCTCGAACAGTGGGATGCCAACCTTTGTATCCACTCCACACCCCAAAATCCTGAAAATCTAAAGATCAACAACATGCTTCTCAGGGGCTGAGTCCTGCGTAACACCCCCTTCGTAGTAGGCGTGGTTGTTTATGTAGGCAAGGAAAGTAAGATTATGAAGAACGCGAAGAAAGCGCCCAGGAAAGTATCGAATTTAATGAAAATGATGGATTATATGCTGTATACTGTGTTTTTGTTCCAGATTGTTATTATTATGGCGTTTGCGAGTGTTTCAGTGGGGTGGATAAGTGAGAAGGGGAGGAAGTATGAGTACCTGGATATGGGGGATACTGATGTAGGGCCGATTACGTGGGTAGTGCAGTTGTTGACGTATTGGGTAGCCTATTCGCATATGATACCGATCTCTTTGTATGTGATAATAGAGGTGCTGAAGTTGGTGCAGTCTTATCTGGTGAAATGGGATGAGGAGATGTATGATAGGGAGACAGAGCAGTTTGCGGAGTGAAGAAATTCGGATTTGGTTGAAGAGCTTGGACAAATTGATTTTATTTTTAGCGATAAGACAGGGACATTGACTTGTAATAAGATGGTGTTTAAGAGGTGTAGTGTTGGAGGTAAGGTCTTCAGCACTGATGAAGAGGCTTCTAAAGAAAGTTCTTCTACCAATTACAAACAATCAGACCAGCTGAGTTCTTCTAGAGATAGAGAATGCTTAAGCAATAATGATGTTGAAGAAAGTAAGATGGATATGATAGATCACCGTCAGATAAACCAGATGCCCATGCAGGATATCGAGGATCACGAAGAAGGAGAGGAGAAGGGGCTTAAAGATGAAAGAAAGCAGAGCAAAGATCTCACTGAGTTCTTTAAGTTCATGGTTCTCTGTCATGCAGTTATGGTGGATAGAGATCCTAAGACTGACCAAATCATTTACCAGTCCAGCTCTCCTGATGAATCAGCTTTGGTACTAGATTTTATAACTTTTAGGTTGAGGGATCGAAAGAAGTAGGAATAGTACTGAAGGATAGAACAAAGGATACAATGACTATCTCAATAGATGGGGAGGAAGAAGCGTATGAAATATGTATTGAGTTCCCATTTGACTCTACTCGAAAGCGGATGTCAGTTGTCATCCAGAAAAATAACAAATACTATCTTCTTACTAAAGGTGCTGATAATATAATGAATCCAAGGATAAACTGGAAAGAAGGGGAGAAGGAGAAGATAGAGTCAGATCTCCATCAATTTGCTATAGAAGGGCTTAGAACTCTAGTGATGGCACAAAAGGAAATCACACACCAAACCTTCATTGATCTTAAAAATAGGATTGATGAGCTCGAAGCTTCAACACTAGTAAATAAAGAAGAGATGATTTTTGATGTTTATGATCAATATGAAGGCGATCTAAACTTTGTTGGGGCATCTGCTATAGAAGATAAGCTACAAGACAAAGTAGCTGATACTATTAGTATCCTAATTGAAGCTAATATCCGAGTCTGGGTATTAACTGGAGATAAGCAGGAGACAGCTATCGAGATTGCCAAGGCGTGCCAATTGATCCAGAAAGGAATGGAGGAAGAAATCCTTACGATAGATTTTGATAATATAAAACTCAAAGAGCCAACCATCATCATTCATGATGAAATCAAGAGGATTTATGATAAATATGGAATAAAGCATACGATTGATGATGTAAATGGAGATGATACAAAAACTAGAAAGAAAAAGATGATTCCATTTAAAGATGCACAAGAAACAATTCCTTCCTTGAGCATAGTCATCGATGGCCCAACCCTAGGAGTTGTACTAGGGGATGAAGAACTGGAATTTGAATTCTTCAAGCTTGCAATCCTTGCTAAATCTGTAATATGATGACGTGTTTCTCCCAAGCAGAAAGCTTTGATAGTAAAACTTGCAAAATACAAAGAAAAATCGATATCTTTGTCAATAGGTGATGGAGCAAATGATGTCCCAATGATTATGGAAGCTAATATAGGTATCGGAATTCGAGGTAAAGAAGGTACCCAGGCAGTCAGAGCATCCGATTATGCTATCAGTCAATTCAGATTTCTCCAAAGACTTATCCTAGTACATGGACGATATGGTTATCGAAGAATTTCATCCGTGGTATGATACTACTTTTATAAAAACATCCTACTGGTTTTTACAGAAATTTATTTTGCAGTGTTCTGAGGGTTCTCAGGACAAATCTACTTTGCAGATTGGTTACCAATGTTATACAACTCTTTATGGACAAGCTTCACTTGATTCTTTGCTTATTCACTGGAAAGGGATATACCAACAGAGGAATCTGAGAAATCTCCTCATCTTTATTCTGCAGGTCAAAAAAGAGAATACTTTTCGTACTTGAAATTCTGGAAATGGATTATTTTGTCAATATATCATGGCTTGATTGTGTACTTTGGATGAACTTGTGGCTTCAGATATGCAGTAAATCTTGATGGTCATACTGAGACACTTTGGTTTGTCTCATCTACAGCCTTCACTATTATAGTACATCTTGTTACATTTAAGCTTCTTATCGAATTGCTATTTCTAAACTGGATAGTTATTGCTGCTGGGATCGGCTCTGTCATCTTATACTGGCTCTGTGCTTTGTTCTTGAACTCATCCTATGTTTCCTCAATCCTGCAGCCTAACTTAGAAGGTATTTACTTCCGGATGTTGACCTCTGTGCCTACCTTATTATCTTTATTACTTGTTCCCTGCATCGCTCTTCTTCCTGATATGACGTTGAAATATTTCTCACAATTATTTAATCCTTCTGATTCAGATACATCAATATCCGAGTAAGTTTATTTGACTCACAATATTTTAGGCATAAAGAAATTCAAAAACTCAAAGAAAAGAAAACTCCTAGAAAGGCTAAGTACGAGGTAGCTCCCAAAAGAAGAGGACTCAGCAATCATTTCAACTCCGAAGCAAGACTTAATAGGCTAGACTAGAAACCACTAATACCCCAATGCTCTAAAATTTCCAAAAATCCCATATCTACACTAAATCCTCCAATATCCCACCAAAAATGCCTAAAACATACTATTTCTCCCTCTGGTCTCCCTCCATCACCTCTACTACACCAGTTCCTCCCTTAACTCCCAAAACTCCCTTCAAAAGCCCCATCCACATTTTGTTCCTAGAACAAATTCTGAAAAATTCATACTGCTCAAGCTAAATTTATACACAAGGGGTTTTGGGGTTTTGGGGTTTTGGGGTTTTGGGG